TTTTTAAGCAGAGATTCTTACCTCTTTTTATGTCTGCCCACTCTCCCACCCCATTAGGAGTTCTGTGCGAATGGCCATCCGAAAGCTGACGTACGCGCCCGAGGAATCTGCGCCTCAGCCCTCTGCCGAGGTGGTTAAGGACTTCATAATGAGCCCTGGAACTCTGCGTCTGGAAGTTTCTCTCGATAAGGAGGTGCTTTATGGTTCCCTGCCTACTACTCTTGCTCCTTTGCTTAAAATCTGTGCCTTTCGCGCATTGAGTCTCTAAGTGCGTGCGTACTTGAATGCCCAGCACCACACTGTAGATGAAGAAGCAGAAGAAGGCGAAGAAAGGTGGATAAGCTAATTAAAAGGACTAATTTGAGTATGCCTGGTGAACCTCTTCAGGTAGCCGAGGTTTCACAGTCTGGTTATCGCAACCGTTCTTCCGGTTTGTAGCGTAGAACTGTTCAGCGACTGAATGTACGCGGTGACGGTCCCATCCCCGGTGACTGATCTCCACCGGTATTAGATACAATATCTTTAGATACAAGGTTGTTTTTTTGATAGGTATCGAGCTTTCTTCGCAGTAATGTAAATCATCTTATCGGCCGATTATTTCCTTATATGTGCTTCTTCTTCCTTCGTATTGTTAATTCCGTGCACAGCCATGCAGCTGTTGATGAGACAGGAAATTTGCGTATTTAATTTGACTGCTAACACGAATAAACAGAAAGATGTCTGTCACTGGTGGTTGCTTTGTGGTACGCATCACTTTACAGTAGGCCCTGGGGATTTCTGTGTGCTAGGCTGTCGAGGGTTAACAGTTCTCATACGTTTGGCTCGTATTCAGGACAGGCAGGAGGCAGTCAACCTGTTATGTCTTCAGTATGACAAAAAATAACTTAAAATCACCATACTTTCAGTGCTCGTTGATTGCTGCAAAAGTCCTTTCAGATTCTCCTAGGCGAAGGAGATAAGCCCACCTAAGGCAAGCATGACTTTCAAACATGAAAATAGTAGACTTAACGTCTGGGTGTTCCGATGAGCTCATTCAAAGTAGCGAGATGTCGTCTGTATTTCGCTTCTTTCATATTTGACACTGAAGAATTGAAAAAGTTAGTTCACTCAGAGCTTTCGATATCTCCTGATATCGATCCTACGTCCTGGGGGTGCGTCGTTCTCATTGATGTTCAGGGGCCCCTTTATCCATCGATTTTCTTGTGGTATCTGTTGAAAAGCTACAGTTTTGCTTTAATTTACGAACATTTTATTGAGGTCATTAACTCCACCCTTCACCTTCTTTACGAGGGTCCGTAAATTGTGCAGAGTGCCTTGCAGAGAGTTTTTGATGCACTTCAGTAGAAGTTAACTTGCCTCAAACTGCTCTTACTCGTCCTTTGCCAATGGAGACTATCATTATGTTATCGACTGCTCCTAGGCTTTTGCATACTTTCCTCTCTCCCTTCTTGTTTCAGTATCCATAAAACTGCCCCACCCCCTGCGGGGAATATCGCTATCAGATTTATGTCTTACTTGAGTTGTTTTCTGCTTATACGTTGTTTATTTCCAAAGTGTGCTGTTTGGCTTCCTTGTGGGTTTTATGCATAGGACTACGGGCCCATTACCAGGAGCATCTCGCGGATTTAGTGTCTGAAGTTTTCTTCTCGCATAGAGACCGAGTTGTATTGACCATTTGGCACGACCGAGGTTGACCTGCTTTCGTCCATCACCTCGTGCCACTTTTCAGTCAAGGTCATTTAATTAAAATATCTTACGAACACAAAGTTCTTGGACTTATTCGGGCTCTGTTGTTGAATACTCCACCGTAAACAAGACACTGATTTCTAGCTTTGACTTTTAATTTACCGTACATGGAAGTACTGTCGTTGTCCTGACTCGGGCTACTTATTCCTTCTTTCTCTAGAAATACTACCATGGCGAATTCATCGCTGTGAACGTTCTTGTGGATAACAACTCGAACAAAACTGTCAAGAAGGTCAAAGTTTCCGGTAAGCCACTAACGTCTACACTGTTTACACGAGCTATCAATCTCTCTGAATCATATTGTATCCATTAGCTGTTTTACAAACGTATGTTCACAGATAATATACGAAAATAATCAACCTTCATGCAATATTTCCTTTAGCAGTGGCTAGTCCTTTCCTGTTGATGAGGTTCCAGTGGGCCGTTGTATTTGTAGGTTAAATGGACGTGAGAGATTTTGATTCGATTGACGTTGGATTGTCCGGCCGGACTTGCTTCTCAGGCTCTTTTGTTCTTGGTGTGTCTTAATACTTAGACAGTGTCGAAAGTAAATCCACGGTTGGTCATACGCGCACATCGCAAATCTTCACCGTTTATTCACGCTAATTCGTAAGTTGTGCCAATCCTTTTTAGGTCATTCACAATACTCAGCTAAGCATGTACACTAATAAACGCGACCCATTATTACTGACTAGCCTCTTGGAGACAGCCGGCCACCGGGCTTCACGCGTAAGTGACTGATCCTACGGGATCAGAATGTCTGGTAGGGTTTGACTTTCATCCTCCCGGCACTTCAGGCGTTTTAATTGATATTTCTGAAAAAAATACTTGTCTATGCGGCGATGAGAGCGTTTGACAGAGAGGAAACTGTACTGCACTCCTTCAACCTCTGTCTGCATTCAGCATGCAAATGAACTTAAGCTTTTTTTCTTCTTAAGGTTTTAAACAGTGAACTTTCCGTTGCATCTCTTAATGCGTTTTTTTCGCAGTATACCACCCCACCCGTCGCCGCAAACTAAATGACCGCAAAGTTCAAACCGTAGATTTCGCACCTCACTAAAACTGCGCCTTTTCATTCTTTGGCATCTAAAGAACTTAGTAAGCTGTCCTAGTGCTGCTTTCCTTCGTTTCCTTAGGTGAACTTAAACCTTTGCTTTTTCTTCAAGAAAATATTGTTTGAACATAGGGAAACTTGGTAATCGTGGGTGAATGAATTGCAGTTTCTTTCGCTTTTGGGGAAGGGGATGCTGCGGTCGTGCTTAGTATCGTTGCAAACTCCCTTTGTGTGCATTCGGATGCTGACGTTCAAAAATGAGCCAAGTAGGGTTTGTTCTATGGTCCCTTGCCTGACGCCAGGGTTAATGTATGTGATAAATAGAATTTCGTATTCAAAGGCCGTCCTGTGTCATCTCAAAGTCAGGAAGTAACCAGTATCTAGTTCATCTCGATTAATTGTTTTGGCCTCTTTTAAATAGGTTCCTTGTCTCTCCGTCCGCAGATTGAAGGTTTCGGTAACATTTTTCGGACGTGCTATTATAGCTATGTAAAGCTGCTCAAAATGCAAACAATTCAACCTGTGCTGTTGGTGAGAACAACTCACCTGCTATGAAGAAACATTTTCAGGGTCTACGTAAGACTCTACTGACATCAGCACCTGCCGTGGTGCCTGGCCTTTTAATGTCTATTATATTGATTAGCGGTTTCCGGAGGTATTTTTACCGATGTAAATGTTTTGAATTTATGTCTTATGAATGCCTTTGTGACAGATGCTAACACTGTGTGGTTAGTTACAATTATGGGTTAATATTTAATGTGAAACCAAACAAACAATAGCTGAGTCAAAATGAATTATTTTTGTGGTTAATAACCATGCTTTGGTACACTCTTAATAGTCTTTCGTGTGCCTTTGTGTAGATATGTCCTCAATTCCATAAAAACCAACATACTATGTTCTTGAGATTGGTCCACTGTCAAAATTCCATACTTTTGGTACTTTCTTCTTTTTTAGGAGTAGCTTGAACCACAGAACTCACTGTTCCCCAAGACGTGCACCCTAATATCTGTGTGCCGGTGTTGGCTTTACTTACGAATGTTAACGGCGCACAATCTAGCCATACCCTACAGGACACCAGAAGTGGAGGGATGGCAACAGGCAGGAAATGTGTCCCGTTGCGATTGTACAGATTCTTTTCTTCAGGGGGGGACAGCGTTAAATCAGGACTTAAGCATCTGTCCTGCCGCTCCCAGGCGTCTACACGTCAGGCATGCTGTTCGTTGTACTGGTCGTTATTTACTGTTTGCGGAGGCTCTTCTGCGAAGCTCAGACAAACATACGCCTCACCATCTGCGCCATTCACATGGCTAGCTCGGGCAGCCGCCCACTTTAGAACTTGCCGGTAAATCGATTGGGTTGGCTCGCTGTCGCTGAGTCATTTTGCTGCAGGTACAGTTGTTGGCATCAGTCAAATGAGACGCTCGTTGCCGACTTGGTCGCCACTCCCCGCAGGCATTGAACAACCTAGAGGTGTCTACAGGTCAGTTGGCAATAAAATGTTCGCAAGGGCTGTTATTGACGTTTTGCTGAACGTTGTGCGGAGTTAGCGTATGGCAGACCTAAGCTGACCTACATAAAGACGAC